CCACCCAGGCGCCCCTGTGCTACACTCCTTATAAAAGCATCTGCTTTAATCTCTGTAACAACAGAGACCAGGATTAATCCATTTTAAGCTGAAGAAGCTGAGGCTCTGAGAGGTTAAGTGACTTACCTCAAGTCACATAGCCAGGAAAGGCTGAAGCCAGGACTTGAACCATCTCCACAGGCCATGCTCTTAATCAGACTACTGCACTGAAGGATGGGCTCCTATGTGGAGCTGTCAGGGGCAAGGAGGAGGAGCACTGGAGTGGAGGACGAAGCAAACATTGGCAAGGACACAGGCCCAGGGCCTGCCACAGCCAATGCCTTTAGGCTTAGCCTAGCAGGATGGGTGGGGCAGAGTCCTGGGAAAGCGTATCACATCCCACACCCAGAGGCTCTGCCAGAAGTTGACGTCTACACCAGAAACATCCACTATCTAAAATACCTTTTCAAAAAAATACTTTAGATTTTCACATATGCCTTTGTTTTACTGATTACAAAACCAATACATGTTCATTAGAGAAAAATGAAAAATCTACAAACTTTATAAAAAGCAAATTTCCATCCAGAGATAACCAGCATCAGATTGTTATGTATATCCTTTCTGTACTTTTTCTATGCACCCTATACATACATTTCCCACACAGTTAGAATCAAATAATATATTCACTTTTAGATCTTCTTTTGTTCACTTAATGTTATATAATGGGTGTTTTGCCACATTAATAATTGAAAACAATTTTTTAAAATACAGGTTTTAAAACTGGTGATAAAACTTTGTGGTATACATATTTATCGTAGAAGTATTAGTTAACACACCAGTAGGCTACACAAACAGGTCTATGAACCATGGTCTGAACTTGGATGGCTAGTTTATAAAACCTGTAGATTTTTACAGGTGGGGTAGGGAGTAACATAACAGATTCTCACTAGGGGCTATGGCATGCTTTTTGAAAAATCATCTTCATTATTATGACTTAATTTTATATTTGGAAAACTAAAGAGAAAGAAATCCTTTTTTCCATGATACAAACTACAGAATGGTAACATTTAACAAATCTTAGCCAGAGGGGGCTGGTTAGAGAAGTTTGAAAAACACTTTTTCTTGCTTTACCTATTATGGTTAATGAGAATATTTTTATCACTAAAACAAGAACTTCACAATACTTTAATGACTGTTTCTTTCTTCTCCTGATTTGTTATTCAGAGTGGTCATCCGTGTCTTTCAGAGACCTCATTCATTCATTTATTCATCCAATAAACAGTGAAAGTTCTTTGCCCAGCAATCTGCTAAGCCCTGACAACGTGTTGGTGAACAGACAGGCAAGGGCTCCCATTCTAGTTGGGGAGACAATCAACAAGTATTTTACCAAAGTATAAAGACCTGTATTACCTAAACGAAACACTACTTTTGTTCCTTTTACTTAACTATGTAATATGTAGTATCGTGAACATTTTTCCCTATCACTAAAAATTATTCAAAAATATTTTCAGGACTTTGACTTAAAACTCTTAAGTTTTCTGTCCTATAAAATGAGGCCATCTCTTACACATTCCATGTTTGTGCACCACCTAGGCATTGGGCTCCGTGCTGACTTCTTTCAGAGTCAGCATGTGCTGAAGAGCCAGGGTTCTTGTTGTGGCTTTGCCACAGTTGCTGTGTGACCCTTGGTCACATTCCTTAACCCCTCTGTGCCTCACCTCCCTTCTTTGCTAGATGGCTGGTAATAACGGAACATACCTCACAGTATGAGGACTGAGATAACACGTGAAAGGAGCTTAAAGTAGCACCTGTCACAAATGGCCACAAATAAAGAGCAAAAGCATTCACTTTTTCTTGGAGCTTATGTTCCAGTTGGGGAGGCCGACAATACAGGGGTTTCAGATTTTCCAAAATGTGAAAACCTCTGGAATGCGGCAAGGAAGGGGGGAGGAATAAAAAAGAGCGAAGAAGGGAGGGAGAAAAAAGGGAGGAGGAAAGAAGGGGAAAACGGAGGAAGGGCTGTATCTGCCCATCCCAAAGTCAAAAGGGTTATGCTTAATCAGATTCCGTGCACCTGTGGGTCTTAAGTCAGTACACACGTGAACTAGAAAAGTGAGGGGCTGTGCGGGGAGGGGAGGGG